GGTCTCCCGTTACGGCTTAACCCCAGCCCCGAGGAGTAGGCAGTATACCCATTCTACAGGAGAAGAGTGAGGCTCCCAGGCGGGCCATCATGGCCGTGCAGCCCCAGGCCACCCTTCGTCATGCTGCGGAGGGCGATGTCCTGTCCCCTCACCACCTCGGTGGCTGGCACCCGCGTCCCGCTTGCCCCTGGCTGGCTCTGGCATCCCGGTCTTAGCGAGGGGCACGCTGCGTCTCTCATACAGCTTGCCTTTTCTGGGGTCCAGGCTGCATCCCAGGTCCTGCTGAGAGGCAGCGTGCAGTCCCGGAGGACGCAGTCCCTGCCACCCCCCCGTGTTCCTGCTTTGGGCCTCCCCCAAGCTTCCAAATATAATCCTGAGTGCTCAGGAGCTGTCGGCCAGTTCACCCCGTGCTCTAAGTGGGTTTTCTTGGGCCAGATGTCTTGAAAGAACACTCTCCTGACTCAGCAGTTCCGGGAATTTTTGGCCTAGCATTTATCTCACTGTTCTGAGTTTACTTGTAAAGCCTCTTGGCTTAATGTTTGCATCAAGATGGGCAGTAATAACCCCATTAATAACCAGTTACTCAGAACACATTTAAATTGTCTTAACACTTTCAAATATTTTCTTATACCTTTGAAAAAAAATTTTTAAAGAATTATTTACCTTCATTTATTTTATTTATTTTAACTTGACCAGAGAGGGACAGAGTGAGAGAGAGAGGGAAAGCAAGTTGCCAGGTCTGGGACCCTTACGCGCTCAGCCACGTGGGAGTCCAGCACTCCCGGCCACCATGCCACCTGCCAGCCCCCATTTAAAATTTTTTTTTTTTTTTTTTTGGTGAGGTTTTCGCTATAGGGCGAGTGCACTCGCCAGACAGACAGAGAGAGACATAGAGATAGAAAGTGAGAAATCACCCCATTGGGGGATGGTCATGCCGCAATCCCTTCTCCACCATTCTCCTCTTGGGATCTTGGGCACACACGCACACGTGCCTGGTGTGAGTTTTATTTATTTATTT